AACTCAAAGTCTTCAGGGAGCAGGTGCCACCGACCACGCCAGAAGTGGACAGGGTGCACAGGCAGCGCATTGGACTCAACAGGGGTCGTTGCTTGGCTGTGAGTCTGTGTTGTCATTACGACATCATTGACAGCCTTCTTCAGTAGTTCCTCGAGCAAAGACTGCGTGATATTGCCATCGGTTACACCCTTGTCCTCAAGCAGCTTCTCGATGCCCTCGCTGACCTCTTGCGGGAGCGAGCGAATGGCTTCCATGTTTCTGTTGAGCTGCACATGGAGGGCGACGCGAGGTGGGTTGCCTGTTGGCTGCATTGTGTCTGACGTCAATTTCACAATCGATTGCAGGTCCGTTGCAAGCTGCATGTCACCAAAGAGGACAGACGCCAGCAGGGGGTGCTTGGCGGGGAGAGTGTTGACGAGGAAGTCCATGTGGAAGGCCAAAGATGCCAAGCACTTTGTCAAAACTCCATGGAGACTCTGGTGCGCCCAAAGGCGTGGGAAGATAAGTTTGCCGGCTGCCGCGACGACAATTTCGCTGCCAGCTTGGAAGTGCGGGGGCAAAACCGCGAAGTCACCGCTACCAAGAGGAAGTCCCACAACAACACGGCCAACGTACTGGTCTCCGGCCCCATCGTAGTGAACGTAGCGTTCGATGACGCTTCCAATCGACCAACCACACCGAATGCAAACGTTCACAATTGACGGACCAGTTGTACTTCCCCCAATAGCAAAGGTAGCAGCACCTTTCGCAGAGAGTGGGTACCAACTGCCTTTGCCACTGTAGGAAGTGCTTGGCCCACAAGATCTGACAAGCGCCGCCCGAACCGGTCACGCTGGGAGGGTCCAGGAAAGAGTTTCCCGGAGTCGTGTTCGGAGTTGCAAGCCAGGAACATGGCCAGAGCCAGAATGCAGCACGACTCTGGTTGCATCGGATTGGCGTACAAATGCTTTGGGTCCCGGCGTTTCGTCCCACCTTGGTCTGTCTTGGACTTGAAAAATGTGACACCCAGAGCGTCTCCTTCGTCCGTAAAGTGGTCAATGCGGACAGACGCGGTTGAACTTGAACGACACATCAAATTCCAGGACAATATAAGGAACAAGTGGGTAAAACCCGCGTCCGATAATAGCATGCTTGCTATGCATAGCTCCAAATAGTGGTGATGACGGAGGGGCTGCTTGGTTGCAGCTTTAATGGCGCCAGCTTGGGTCTCTGTTGCACAAAGACGGCGTATTCCTATTATCAACGTGAAACATTCGATACAACACGTAGTGTTTGCCTTGAAAGATAACTGTGGCATCGTTAGCAAACTCGGGAGGTGGTGCAATGTTGCACTTGTTGTAGTAGTCTCTCAGTGCAGACCTGTAGCCTGAAAGCGTGGAGATGGAGACGCCTGCTACTTTGTACTTGTAAAGAAGAAACTCAGTGAAGTCAGCATAGCCGAATGCGTTGAGATTGATCGAGCCATCCTGGTCGACCATCGATCCTCGGCCAGATGAAGCTAGCCACTTTGCGATTTGGTTCAAACCGCTGCGGTATCCCTTCTTCGAGCTATCGGCAAGGCGATTGTCACGAAAGTCTTGTACAGTTGTAGTTTGCTGTCGCATCATGGACGAACTGCCCAGGGAGCTATCTCTCATGGCGGAGCAAGTTTTCACCAATCAATTCAGCCAGGACCTTTTGCCCGACTTTCTCTATTCAAAATCGAACAATCAATTTTATCCTTGCCTTTGTATACAATAAATATTCGAATGAACAAAGAAAGTCGGA